AGTTCCATTGTAACAGGAATGATTCCCCTCCTATCTGCATTTAAGACAGACATAACCTTTTTTAGAGTAGTGGGACTGATTTTGGACGTGCGTTCTGCTCCTTGCAAAACGAACACACCTTTTCCTGTCCAGGTTTTCAGTTACTGTTCTTCAGGTTTTCAGAAAAAAGCCCATGGTGGATGTGCCAATTGGTGAATGTCTATGATGTCATTAAGACACTTCCTTCATTGGCCAGAATTGTTTCATAACTCTTTTAACACCCACCCACCCACCTATATCTGTTGTTAAATAAGGACAAACATAGAAATGAACAAATGCACATGTATTACTTGCATTTATTTATTTTGTTCAAAATTGCACTTCAGTCATATGGAGAAGGGAAGGATTGATGGCTGACCCAGCATCTCATGCAGTGAAATGTGGTTTGTCACACAAATTATAATGCTAGAAGGAAACTGAACTCACATTGGAGGCAGGTAGACTTAAACCGACAAGGGGAAGAGTTGCCATTTATTTATTCAGACATTCATTCATCTTAAACATTTATTTACCATCTCTCCTGAGTTTTCTGAGATGATCTATGTGGCTAATAACCACCAAAATTTAGAAGTATATGCATTATAGTATAAAAATAAACAGAGCAGCAGAGAAAAGCACAGTTTGGCAGAGAAAAGGAGAAGCAGTTAAAAACCATAGTTTTGTATTCCATCCCTGGTTACGCCTGGTTATATTTAAGGAACAGGGAAGTAGTTCTGAGGAACACCAAGCAGAGAATAGAAACCTAGAACATCTACGATTTTAGATTATCATTTTTAGTTCCACATTCAAATAACATTTTTCTCCCCTGACTTTTCGTTGTGAAACAGTGATAAAGTTTGCAGCAGCAAATATTTCTGTGCACCACTGAAAGTTCTCCATATGCTGTGACTAGCACGCATAGGTTGATGATAATTCTTACGGTTTGTTTTTTCCTCCCTTTGACTATATCAAAGAAGACCATGCACCCTAACTCTTTCTTCTTCTGGCTGTGAACGACATTGCCCCTTGCAATTTCTGCATCTCATCTGTTCTCTTGACAGTTCTCTACAAACCGATGCACCCCCTGCCACACCTATAGCAAGCAAAAGCTATCTCCATGGGGTGACAGACATTCCGCTTCTTGGGAAAACTGTGGATCAGTGCCTGGAAGAGACAACCCACCGGTGTCCTGATCAAGAAGCCTTGGTGTTCCCTCTAGAAGGGATTCGGAAGACGTTTGCGCAGTTGAGACAAGATGTAGGTGGCTCACGATTCCTTTGTTACTGAATCTAGGGATGCGCACAATGTATTTAAAGCATTTAACCCTGCTCCACAGCTAAAAGCGGTTTCCAGAGTGGCTTACAAAAATCAGCACTAAGACATATCGATAAGATAGCCTATACTTTAAAAGGCCTTTGAAGCAGTAGCTTCCAGATGACCCAAAATGGAAAGATTTTTTTTGCCAATTAATTTTTATTGCTTTTCAGTTTTTTTTAACTAATTGCCATCAAATTAATTCAAGTTTAATACAAATTTAAAAGGCCCCACTGGCTTGATATTTCACTACTCACCCTTATTTACTGCTCAGTATTGCATACATTTCCAAGTTATATTTCAAAAAATGTAACATATTTTAGCATTTTATCCTTATCCCCCCCCCTTCTTTCAAAAATGCAAAGATTTAACAAAAACCAGGTGATATGACTTTGTGGGCGTAATTCAACATAGTGTAAGGAGATCATTTTGTCAGTGCAAGCATTTCTGTTGGCCCAATTGAACAATCTCCCCTTTCTAGGGGTTTTCCTGACCCTCCTCCCCAAAAAGGAGAAAAACCGAATAGCTGTAAATAAAATAAAATTTAAAAAACCTGTCAGAATAAAAGCTGTCTACAATACCAAACAGCTGCATTTCTAAAGACTCTATCTAGCATGTCTGGAAGCTGCCTCCGCTGTCCAAAAAGACCTTTCCAAAATTCCAGATGTTTTGAGGGTTTGTTGACGGTGGTGAGAAGACCATTCTGCACATTCATTTTTCACGGTTCTTCGAATTGAATTTTAGAACTGAATATGGCTTTTGGGACTAGGCATTGGTAAAGCTTTTTGTTCAAGGAGAGCACAGAAAAACTCAGGTTGGTCCATTTTAACCCTAAGCAATAATCGGAACCCTCATAACCCATATAATTGACAGTTACAATGTCTGGGGCATCTAGGTCTGCCCTTGAGAGCAGTTTGGAATCTTCAGCTGTCCAGAATGTGCTAGCCTGCTTAGATAGTATTTGCTTTTTATGAGTTCTACTAGTTGCTAGTTTGCTGCAGAGTTAAATTCAAGACCTTGCCGCTCACCTTTAAAGCCCTTCTGGGCCACGCTGATCCTTGAGCAAGCAACATTTTGTGTGTGAGTTCCTTTCCATTCTTTGAGTTCTGAGGGTGAAAATCTTATGGTAGTTCCTGCAAACTCTTATTTCTCTAGGATGGCCCCCGAGCACTGGAATCATTGACGAAAGTTGATGCAACAAATTCTGGGAAATGGTCCGTTGAAACACGCTGGCAATACCTTTTCTCTCCTTTTTTATGTTGTAATGCCAGGTTTACCTGACCCTGTTTTAATTTCTCCTAACCATTTATTGTTGTCGTGATTTTATGGGTGCTTTATTTTTCTTAAGCCGTAAGCTGATTTGAGAGCAGTTGCTGAAAAGCAAGTCTCTAAAGCTGCCTGGAAATAAATAAATAACAAGTATCCTAAAAGTAAGATGGACTTAATTGTTCCAGATGATGATGATCAAAGCTTGGATAAGTTTTCCAGAGTGGGACTGAGCAGCTACTGAAAGCATCTGTCTGCAACGCTTTGAAGGTGATCTCATGCATGTTTACTCAGAAATTAGTTCCACTGTACTTTAGTGGGACATAACTCCCCATTAAATGCATGGGATTTTTGGGTGCAAGGCTCAGACTAGCTAAAGCTTTATAAGCTATTTAGAACTGGGGCTGGGAAGCTGTGGTCCTCCTGATGTCGTGGAACTCCAGTCCCCATCAGGCCCAGCAACTGTGGCCAATTGTTAGAGGGGCTGGGAATTACCGTATTTTTCGCCCTATAGGACGCACTTTTTCCCCTCCAAAAATGAAGGGGAAATGTGTGTGCGTCTTATGGGGCGAATGCAGGCTTTCACTGAAGCCAGGAGAGTGAGAGGGGTCGGTGCGCACCGACCCCTCTCGCGCTCCAGGCTTCAGGAGAGCCCCAGCGCCAGCCCCACAAGGTCGGGGGACAGAGGGAGGCGGAACGCCGCCATCCCTCTGTCTCCCGAAGTGGTTTGGAGGCTGATGGCGGGGAGACCCTGCCGCGAGCCCCGCAAGCTCCGGGGACAGCTGGGAGACGCAGCGCGTCTTCCTGCTGTCCCCAGACCTGATCTGAAGGCGGGCGGCAGGGAGAAGAGCGCTTCTCCCCGCTGCCTGCCCCGCAAGCTCCGGGGACAGCAGGGAGACGCAGCGCATCTTCCCGCTGTCCCCGGACCTGATCTCAAGGCGGGCAGCAGGGAGAAGAGCGCTTCTCCCTGCTGCCTGTCCCGCAAGCTCCGGGGACGGCTGGGAGGAGCAGCGCGTCTTCCCGCTGTCCCCGGACCTGGTCTGAAGGCGGACTGCGGGGAGAAGAGCGCTTCTCCCCGCTGCCGGCCCCACAAGCGCCTGGGGGGGGGGAATAAAATGTTTTTTCTTTATTTCCCCCCCAAAAAAACTTGATGCGTCCTATGGGCCGGTGCGTCCTATGGGGCGAAAAATACGGTATAGACCAGCAACATCTGAAGTTAGGACATTAATGTTTTAATGCTGCTTGTAGCGCTTTTCATCACACATCAGTTAATCTCAGGTTGTTTTCACGCGTTCTGCTTAGGGCCAATCTAATTGTGATGTAGAAGTGTGTGGGTGCCTTTCTTCCATCTTTCGTTTTCCCCTACAATGGAGCAGAGCAATGATAGTGTCCAGCTAATTTTCACCACTCCACAGCCCTCACCCAAATCCCTCCCTGCTCTCTCTTACTATTAGGAGGGGGAAACATGCAGGCACAAACCCAGTTCCCGTATGTTCTGGTCTCTGTGGCTTATGGTAGCTTTGCAGGACCTTTGTATTCTGTATTATCATACATAGTCCTGGTCAGGTACCAACGGGGCTGCTTCTAGCAAACAAAAAAGACATAGAGAGCGGAATATCTACTGCTCTCATGTCACATTTTACCGTGAACCTCTCTTGGGCATGTCAAAATCAGATATGTAAATTTAAATGTGGCTTGTGTCAGTTTTATTAAACAATTCAAGACTTTATCACGAAGTTAAAATAACAATCCAGTAAGAAATATAAAATAAAATAATAAAAATGAGGTGGAAACTGTTGATTTGATTGACATCCTATGCCCTTTTAAAATGTGGTGGGGGGTTTGGGTGGGGGGAGGTTATTGGGTTGTTTTTATTTTGATTATGTATTTTGTGGTTTTATATTTTGATTTTATTCTGCGAACCGCCCTGAGACCTCCGGGTATAGGGCGGTATATAAATTCAATAAATAATAATAAAAGTAATACCAAACAAAGAAACAAAATAAACAAAATCCAGTACTCATAGCCATTACCCTTAAAATAAAATACATTCTTAAGAGACTACACAGTGAATTAAATGGCAGAGTCCTATGAGCTTTTAAATCCATTGGCAATTAAATCACCTCCAGAAAGGTGAATTTCCTTCAGAACATAGGTGTTTGGTCTGAATGCAACCAACACACCATCTTCTGATTAGGAGGAAACTTGTTTGATGCTCTTTAACCATCTTGCCTTGGGAGATGAACATACCGGCTGCCGCCATATTCCTTTCCTTTAGCTTTTTAGATTCTTCTGTGTCGTCAGTGCACAGAGTGGAGCGTTCATCTCACATTCTCCATCGTTTCCTACCTGCCTAGCTCAATCTGCTGAGACGGGTTTTCTCTCTCTCTCCTATTCTCTAGGTAGTACAGGCAGCACAAGGACTTCTGGCCCTTGGTTTGCAAAAGGGTGACCGGCTGGGAATGTGGGGTCCCAACAAGTACGAATGGGTCCTAATGCAATTTGCCACGGCCCAAGCAGGAATCATCCTGGTAAGTTCCTCCTGCTTATGAACAGCTAAGAGGCCTGGGGGCTGGTTAAGGGAAAATCCAAGAACTCCCTAGAAGGATGTCATGCTGGGGAAGAGAGCTCGTCTATTTAAAGAACACAAGCTTGTATATTTAAAGAACATTCACAATACCATTCAGTATCGACACAAATGCACACACCTTTAAGGTTAGTGTATAAAAGTGTTTGGGTTTGTATTTTGGCAGAAAGTAACTACTCTTACTGTATGACTGGGAATCATCTATCTTGCTTGGCTGAAGAATTTTGTAGAATTCAGAAGCTTTTTTAAAACAAACAAACAAACAAACAAACAAACAAACAAACAAATATCCTTTGGTTTAATGAAAGTTGTATTTTATCTAAGACCCAATAGACTCATCTTGCAGATATTGGCAGAATGGGGAGTTCTTTCTCCTGCACTAGCTGGGGGGGGGGGGTTGTGGTGACATCGCACTGCATATTTTGTATTTGTTTTCTGTTTTGGTATCAGTGGAGTACAAGCCAGGAGATGCTTGCCTGGCAGCTGGTATATACATATTTTAAATAAATAAATATTACATTGGGAAACAGTGGCAACTTGTGTTAGGAAATACTCTCCTGTTTCCACTAAGTGACAATTAATTAAAACGCAAGTGTGGTTTAGGCCCGGTTTGTATTCTTCATTCTCTGAAACCGATACTAGGAGACCTCTGACCTCTCAACACACACAATCACTGTTTAGCAGTACATGGTTAAGAAGCTGTATCTCTGATTAATTTATCTTTTCCAGGTGTCTGTGAACCCAGCGTATCAATCCCAAGAGCTGGAGTTTGTGGTGAAGAAGGTACGACAAGGCCTGTTGTGGTCAGCACTGCTTGTTTTCATCCACAGCGCTTTCTGAAAACGCTTGAAGCTCTGGGAATGCGTTGATTAAGTTAGCAGTTTGATTTGGAGGAAAGTATAGAAAAAGGCAGCCCAAACAATAATTTGGGTTTGGAGCTTTGGTTTAGAGGAAAAGCTGACTGAAGAGAATGGGGGCTGTATGTTTTTCTCTCATAATACTGACACGTGTGGTTGTTGAATCAAGTTAATTGGCAGTTGATTGAGGGCAGGCACAAACGAAAAGTCATCGTTCCCCCCCCCAAATCAGAATGAACTGATGGATTTTGTTACTATGAGCTAAGATGACTTTTTAAAAAAATATAAGACCAATACCCAGATGCTAAAATTGAGCATTTATGTTCATGGACTGTATTTTCTTATATTATATTTATATCCCATGGTTCCTCCAAGGAGCATATATGGTTTTTCTTTGTTTTGTTTTTGCTTCTCTCAACATTTCCTAATCAACATAGTCTCCCTCTATGGCAATTATCGCTGACTTAAGCCTTTCAACTTTCTTATCCCTAATAATGAGGGATTAAAGCTATTAAGTGTCTTGTGAAAAAAATTAATCCCTGCCCAGATTAAGAGGCCTCTTGTACTTACCTTTCTGGTTTAGCTTTGGAGCTAAATCATTAAAATACCATGGGAGGTGTAATACAAAAGCTGCAGTAGGTGATTCTACTTCTTGCTTGCTCTCGCTGTGGGAAAAAGTTTGGAAGCAATAAGACAAGCTTATCTGGCACTAGTGGCCTTGCAAAATGCTGTTTCAGCTTGCAAATGTTTCTTGCTTGTTGGTTTGCTGTTCTTACTGCTCCTATTTTTCCAATGTGTTTGTTTCCTTCCTCGTTGGCCGACACTATGAGAACATCTTCGTAATGTTCTTAAGAGTAACTTCCACTGAATTCAGCAGGATGTATTTTCAGTGCTCTTTCAAAGGATCAAGCTTTGAGGCTGCTTTCTGTGCACACTAACTTGGAAATGAGTCTCATTAAGGGCTGGCCCTGCAGTGGCAAAACTCTGAGTATACCTGCCTCAAACGGGCATATGGAAATGACCATCTGCCTGCATTTTGGGCACACAGACTGGATCTCCTTCATTCCAGAAGACATGATTGAGAGGCTCTTGGTGTCCCACAGGTCTCCCACGGCATAAGTGCAGTTGTAAAGTGGAGGGTATAAAGATGCCACTGTATTATTAAAAGGAGAAAAGAGTACCCCAGTGAAGTCTTGATAATTTAATTTACTGTTGCAATGCTGCTGGAGCATACAGTAAGGCATTTTATTCTTTGTGTTAACCGTTTTGAGGGTTTTGGGGGTGTTGTTTTTTACAATCAAGTGGTGTATCATTTTTAATAAGTAGATAGGAAGGGGTAAGGTAAAGGTAAAGGGACCCCTGACCATTAGGTCCAGTCGTGGCCGACTCTGGGGTTGCGGTGCTGATCTCGCTTTATTGGCCGAGGGAGCTGGCGTACATCTTCCGGGTCATGTGGGCAGCATGACTAAGCCGCTTCTGGGGAACCAGAGCAGCGCATGGAAACGCCGTTTACCTTCCCACTGGAGCGGTACCTCTTTATCTGCTTGCACTTTGATGTGCTTTTGAACTGCTAGGTTGGCAGGAGCAGGGACCGAGCAATGGGAGCTCACCCCGTCGCGGGGATTCGAACTGCTGACCTTCTAATCGGCAAGTCCTAGGCTCTGTGGTTTAACCCACAACGCCACCCACATCCCTATAGGAAGGGGTAGGGGTACGCAAAAGTTCACCTAGAGCAGTAAAAGACATAACAAAAGCACGCTGGCTGATGCTGAAAAGACTTCTGTGGTTCAAAACACCTGGAATGGCTGCTCTTTTGCACAGGTTGCCTTGTGTCCCATTTGCTTCATCCTTACGTGTATCTCTCTAGGTTGGCTGCAAAGCACTGGTGTTCCCTACACAGTTCAAATCTCAGAAGTACTATGAGATCTTGAAGCAAGTGTGCCCTGAGTTGGAACATTCTAATCCGGGAGCATTACAGAGCAAGAAGTAAGTGTTCACTGAGCATTTGCTCATTAGTCTCGTCCAAGGCCCAGTCTTAAACACTGTTTTCATATTGATAAAGTGCCCAGATAAGTATCCACACGATCAATCAAAGGAGCCACAAGATCAAGAGCGGGAGGGGCTTTCAGATTTTCTATTACATTGTAGCACACCATAAGGGAAACACGATGATGAGTTTAAGGACCGTTTCAGTTCTTTCACTTTTTCACCCCTTGTGTCAGGGACTGGACTGAGGAGGAATGGTGGGGACTGGCCCGCCGCCTTCTCCTGAACCTTCCCGAGAACAGGAGGACAGTATAGATTTAGAACAGTGGGTTGCAGAAGGGCATAGTTCAGAGGCTGCAGAGGGGAGAAGCTGGAAAATTTTGGAAGAGGAACAGCAGGAAGAAGAAGCAACAGGGGAGAGACAGCTGACAGACTCAGTGTCTTTAGAAAGCATTCCTGACCCCGCCCTCCCCCCGGACCAGGCGTGCATTGAGCGTAGTAGAACAGAGAGCTCAGAGGCAGAAAGCTCAGATGACCTAACACAGGGAGAGATGTAATGGGGTGGGACTTTACTTGGAGCAACACCATTTTTTTTAGGGAAGACTGCATTCCTTCATCTCTTTCTGTGAATACAGTGGTACCTCGGGTTACATACGCTTCAGGTTACATATGCTTCAGGTTACACACTCCGCTAACCCAGAAATAGTGCTTCAGGTTAAGAACTTTGCTTCAGGATAAGAACAGAAAGGACATAGTTCAGCGCTTAAAGTACTGTATTTTTCGCTCTATAAGACGCACCAGACCACAAGACGCACCTAGTTTTTGGAGGAGGAAAACAAGAAAAAAAATATTCTGAATCTCAGAAGCCAGAACAGCAAGAGGGATCGCTGCGCGGTGAAAGCAGCAATCCCTCTTGCTGTTCTGGCTTCTGGGATAGCTACGCAGCCTGCATTTGCTCCATAAGATGCACACACATTTCCCCTTACTTTTTAGGAGAGAAAAAGTGAGTCTTATAGAGCAAAAAATACGGTACCTGCTTTGCATGCAGAAGGTTCCAAGTTCAACTCACGGCATCTCCAGGTAGGGCTCAGAAAAGCGCCCTGCCTGAAACCCTGGAGAGCTGCCAATCAGTGTAGACAAGACTGAGCTAGATGGACCAGTGGCCTGGCTCAATATCAGGCAGTTTCCTGTGCGTCTTTCTCCACCCCGCCTCCCGAGTATTCTGCAAGCAGGATCTGTATCTGCCAGAGTCCTGTGGCTTTTATGCATATATGGTGTCATAAAGCCAAGTGGAATTACTGGTAGACTTAGTGGATTATGGTCTTCATAGCAGAATCCAGGCCAAGCCGCTTTTTGTGTAACCTTTATTGCTGGAACAGAAAAGGTGATTTGCTGTGACATGGGCAGTTCCTGCCAAGGAAGGTTGAGGGGACAATCTATGTGTGTCTGATGCATAGGCATTTGGCATGGATGACCTTTGGAACCACAGCCAGTGTGTTAAAAACTATTTCTCAGTCTCCAAACATTCATGGAAAGATAAGAGACCCGCCAACCCCACGTAGTCCGCTCTGGTCTCTTATCTGTGAATCCAACCTGCTGCCAACTCCACTTTTAGAACATCCTAAAATTCTTTAGCAAGGTCTCTTCAGCACAAAACCACTGTGGCACTGTGTTAATACCATATGAGTCAATTGTGGAACCTGAATAATGAAAATGTTATGAAATTACTCAACCATCAATTTGCTTTTTTTTGGGGGGGGGGGGTCAGCATAGCAGCCATGGGTGAAATTGAAGCCTGGTTAAATTTAGAGGGATTGTATAAAACAGTTCAGATTATTCATTCATCAAACATCAAGAGTCCATTCATGAATTCCTATTCCCATCTTCCTTCTCAGCTTCTGGGGGCAGGGAGAAAAATTGGTCCATATACTGTATCTGGAGCTTAATCCCTGAACTTGTGCTTGTACCGTGGCAAACTATACTCCGCTTTCCCCTGTTACTGAGCACACCTTCCTTTTTTTGTATCAGGTTACCAGAGCTTTCTGTTGTAATCACCTCAGACTCCAAGTTGCCCGGTGCATTCTCAATGAACGATGTGATGCAGGCCGGAGACAGCAGACACAAGAAGCAACTAGAGGAAATACAGAAGACGCTGGACTGTAAAGAGCCTATCAACATCCAGTTCACTTCAGTGGGTACCAAATGTGCTTTTTCTGGTGTTCAGATAATGCAGCCCGCAGTGGTCAGGAAACAGGAATATTCTGTACCAAAGAAGCCAAGATCTGAATCTTAGAATCACTTGTACAGAAATGTCTGCCTACATTTGCAGGAATTTATGTTCTGCGGATTGTGAAAAACAATGGTGTTGTTTTTTTTTTTTGGGGGGGGAATCCAAAATATTTTGATAATACCTGATAGAAAACAAGGAAACGCTAGTGTGTATAGAAGTTCTAGCTTCCTGACCACTTCCAGTGCCTATCCAAATTTCCATTTCCTTTCTAAATTTTATGGGTTAGAATAACATAAGAAATCTGTTTGATGAGACCAAAGGCCTATCTAGTCTAGCATCCTGTTTTCTCAGGGGTGAAGTATATGCTGGCTGGCCAGCTGGTAGGCAGGCAGGCAGGCAAAGCATATTTTACTTATCATCACACTTTAGAGCAGGGATGGGGAACAAACAGCCCTCCAGATATTGTTGGACTCCCAACTCCCACCAGCCCCAGCCAGCACAAGCAATGGCCAGGGATGATGGATGTTGTAGTCCAACAACATCTAGGGACCCAAGATCAAGAAAGGCTGTTCTAGGCCACAAATGGGGAAGCTAGTGTGTTTCAGCAACATCTGGGGGACCACAGGCTGCCCATCCATGTTATAGCATTTCAGCAATTTATGTATTGCATCTGAAGTCTTGTAATTAGCCCATGACTGTGGGATAGGGTGAGGTCTAAACGAGCTAGTAAAACATCTCTTTCCTTTAGGGAACAACAGGAAGCCCCAAAGGAGCTACCCTTTCTCACCACAACATTGTGAACAATGCATTCCTCATTGGATTAAGACTGAGAGTTCAAGATGGGGTGAGTCATCTCACTCTATTGGTTAACGTTGAGCATGCAGACACTAACTGTATGGAGCAAAATCGTGTCCCCTAAGTAATGAGTGAGAGCTATTTGTGTGTGTGTGTGTGTGTGTGTGTGTGTGTGATGGTGGTAATGTAGAATTATACGTCATTGTCCCTCCTAGTTTCTCAGCTTTTCAGATACACTTTTCAAGGTCTTTGCTAGAAATTTAATGACTAGTAACTTCATTTTTTTAAAAAAAGGTGCAAGGATCAATACTGTGCATTTGCCACCAGATTCTCAATTTCTAGGCCCCCTGTTTATATACTTAACCTGAATGTGGCACACTCATATCCTGTATTAGTTAGAGATTGTCTAATTCTATGTGAATGTTCTAGTCTAAGAGTGGCTATTACTTGATGGTTAGAAATTTTTAAGCTACATACACTTTTCTGACAGTCACACATTGTCCCACCCATGCAAATCTCCACCCCAGGCTTCCTGCTGGCATTCCTCTGGTCTCTGTGACAATGAACTGTAAGCAAAGTTAGAGCCAGCACTGGAAGGCAAGTCCACCGCTGTCTTTGTTTGCCTTGACCCTAGATTGCCCGCTGCTGCCTCCCGGTCCCTCTCTACCACTGCCTGGGGTCTGTGGCAGGCTGCGTGCTGATGGCTATTCATGGCGTCTGTCTTGTCTTCCCGTCTCTAAGCTTCGATGCAAAAGCAGCACTGAAGGCCCTGGACCATGAGAAGTAAGAGTCCATCTTAAGCTTAGTTCTAGGAAAAATTAGCTGTCTATTAATACAGGCCACACTGGGGTGTATGGGGTGTTAGGGGAAGAGTAGCACCTCTGGTGGGGGGGGTATTGTTGTGCTCCTTCTGGGGAGGTTTGTCCATCTTTGGTCCCCACCCTACACTTTGCTTGCACCTGTGACTCCTAGAAGCTGTCAGCATGGGACAGCAGCCACACCCTGGGAAATGGCTTCGACTGGCTGGCTAAGCCAGGTGAGGGTAGCCGATGAGTCTCAAACTCTTGGTGAGTTAGCGACTTTTCTTGCATTGAAAGATGAGATCCGGTGGATTGACCAATAGTGGCTCCAACATTCAAGAAGGCAGTTTCTGCACGTGGTGTAGAGGGAAGTGAGGGAATGTTATTGGGAGAACACAACGCACACTAAACATTACAGCACACTGACTTCTTCAGGAGCGAAGAGAATGTGGCAATTCATTTATGTTGCTCTGAAGGAATCACTGTAATTGAAACGGATATATTTTTGCCTCTGAAGAAAGTAAATGCAGAAACAGACTGGGCATGTTTGTATTCCACAATAGAATTTCCCCACTTGTAGCATCATTTTGAGCTTTTAAAAAATTGGGTGGGTGGTTAGGGGTGTTATTAGAACGACTGCCCCCCCCCCGAATTTCTTTTTTTGGGGGGGCACTTTCATATTTCACAAAAATCTGCTTTTTTTGGTTTGCACTGAGTAAACACTTCACAGCTTGGTGTTGGTTTCATAATGTTGGAAACCCCAATGCCAGGTGGTTGAGGATTTTTCAGGAGCTTCTGGTACCCCATGAAGCTGGGAAGCCATCTTTAATTTGGAGTTAGGCAACGGGGGATACACATGCATTCAACATTTGTGCACATTTTGTTTTCTTTGCATTGGGAAAAGATTTCCCCATGGTTACAAGGAATAAAGGCAAACTTGAGCTTTCATACCTGCAGTCCGAATCAGGTGGAGGAAGCAGTTGCCATGCTCCTGACTTCGTTTTAGCAACCTGCAATTCTTTGTCTTTATTTGAAGATGTACCCATGTTCACGGCACTCCAACCATGTTCATAGATATGCTAGCTCAGCCTGACTTTGCCAGCTACAACCTTTCGGCTCTTCGGGGCGGTAAGTATAAGAACCCAAATGTAAGCATGTTTAAATGAGGCTTATCAGCCCCACATTTCTTAAAAAATGCTAATGGATGCCTTTTAAATACAAACTTTAAACGGAATCAAATGTATTTGCATCAATTTGCATATACCACAGCCTTCTAATGGTACTGAAATAAGTGTTAGATGGCTTGCAATCTACTTTTAAAATATGCTATTATGGTTACAACAAAATGTTGTCTTTAATATTTTATTTTTTCATTCCCCATTACAGTAATATGCTTTTTAAAAAGCATGCCTTTAATTCACCATTTAATCATTTCAGGCTTGCCCTCATCTGTTAAAATCAACCCCAGTCAGCATAAGTTCTTAATTATTCGACCAAAGATTGCAGCTTTTGTTTAAACTAATTTCCTTTAAAAATGAGCCAGCTTTCTCCATTTTTAAAGAGGAATTGGCTCATTTCTAGGTGAAGGGGGGGGGGGAGGCACTGCAGCTGTTGCTGGTTGATCTTGCCCATTCCTTCCCCAAACTCAAATATTTTGAGGTAAGTCATCTCATGGGTTTGATCCAGCAGCACAGACATACACCTAGGGACCATTCCTCCCTTCAACTTGGTGACACTTTCAAGAGCAGCAAAATGTTAATAAAAATTATTGGAGTATATTAGTGAATGACTAAATCATGTTATGTTTATTCCTCATGCATGAGGAATCCATCAAGCACACCTTCCTTTTTATTGCTTAATAATCTGAAAGTTTGCGGGGGTTTTTTTTGCTATTTCTGTTACTGAAATAGCACAAGGTAGACAATACATTGGTTTTCCATTTTTTTAAAAAAATACTGCATCCACCAGTGTGTGGCAGCAGAGGCCAGGCAGACTGCAAATATTGAATGGAAGGGATCCCAAGCCAAGTATCTGCAAATGAAAATACAAGTATGGAATTACACTCTTTGGATTCACACAAACTATACTCACATGTTTTGCTACTGTCTGCCCTATCAAAATCTCGGCTGATTTGCAAAGCGTCAGGGTTAATAAGGGAATAATAATAATGACTGATGATGATGATGATGATGATGTATGCAGCCGTTGTCATGACTTGCTTTGTAAACTTGCAGTGTCCTTTAGGCAACTTCTCAAGGTATGCATTTTTGTCTTTCAGGAGTCATTGCAGGTTCGCCAGTTCCTCCTGAGGTCATGAAGAAGATCATCAACAACATGAACATGCGGGAGATAGTGGTGAGTCACCCTTAATCTTTTGGTTGTGAAGGTTCCTCTGTTGCAAGAGTGGGCAACCTCATCTCAGGGGGTCAAATGCAGTCCTCTAAGCCTCTGTGTCCAGCGGCGTAGCGTGGGTTGTCAGCACCCGGGGCAAGGCAAGTAATTTGCGCCCCCTAACCCGTGGATTTGCGCCCCCTAACCTGTGGATTTGCGCCCCCTAACCCGTGGATTTGCCCTAACCTCAGATGTTGTGCCCGGTGCGGCCGGCCCCCCCTGCACCCCCCACGCTACGCCACTGTCTGTGTCTGACCCTTGGGGACTCTGCCCCAGCCACCCCATCTCCTGGCCACACCTATCGCTGTCACCCTCGCTCTACCTCATCCTGGAATGCTTTTGCCTGGCTGGGATGCCTTCTGGAACCTTGATAATGCCTCTTGTCTGCCTGCATGGAGAGATGGTTGGTGCAGAAGCCTCTGTTTTGTTGCATGTTTGGGATGTATCCTTCTGTGCAAAGGTTAGAGTCATAGATGTTATTTCATCCACTTTTGTTCCTGATCCCACCCAGTTTTTTGGCCTCTTGCACTGCCCACCCTTGGCATGGAAGCCTACCCTTGGAAGGCTGTCCACAAGAAAACATGGTTGTTTGGAGATATATATATATATATAGCTAGAACATGATTACATGAATTTTCATTTCGAAAATTCCCATTGAATGTGGAAATTGACATGGCTGAATTGGGAACTAAAGGTGTAAGGGACCCCTGACCATTAGGTCCAGTCGTGACCCACTCTGGGGTTGCGGTGCTCATCTCGCTTTATTGGCAAAGGGAGCCGGTGTGCAGCTTCCGGGTCACATTACCAGCATGACTAAGCCACTTCTGGTGAAGCAGAGCAGCGCACGGAAATGCCGTTTACCTTCCCGCTGGAGCGATACCTATTTATCTACTTGCACTTTGATGTGCTTTTGGACTGCTAGGTTGGCAGGAGCAGGGACTGAGCAACGGGAGCTCACCCTGCTGCGGGGATTCAAACCACTGACCTTCTGATCAGCAAGCCCTAGGCTCTGTGGTTTAACCCACAGCGCCACCCGCGTCCCTAACTAAAGGTGTAGCTGGCCTTTAAAGGGATGCATGAGATGGAAGGGAAAAAATCTGCTGTTCTAGATCACTGGAAGGATATGGGCAATGGCGTGTCTTGGTGTTGGACAAACCTGTAGCCCAAGTCAAGCCCTGTTGTACGTGTTTATCATTTTGCATGGCTACATCACATGTCGCTCTTAAAGGAAAGGGTCTTGCTCAGAAGTTTGATCCTTTGATGTTCGTTCTGAGGCATTTCTGGTCAATTTGTTGGCAGTCATATTGTAACATGGATCATGTACATGCTCTATCCCCTTGTGCCGGCAGAGCTATGGATATTAGTGAAGGAGCTTTGGCGATGGGGTTAAACAAGGGGAGCAATATATGGTGTGGCAGGTGATCTTTTCTGCTCTGCCAGGCAGCTTCTTGCAAAGCCTTCTAAGAAGATCTCACGTACAGCCCTGTGCATTGCTTGTGTTAGGTAATATACAAGACTGTGGTGCCGTATTGTTTGGGCCCCTTGGGACATATTTGTGATACTTGCACACATTTCAGGTTGTATGGCTGGGCATAAAGCTGTGCTTCCATGTCGTTTTTGTGACTGCACAGTCTCCAGTGTGCCAGCTTTTCAGTCCTGGAAAGAGCCAGCTGTGTATTTGAAAACAGTGAAGTTAGGGACTCATGCATCTATGATTGTGGCCTGTGCTTATTTTCTGCAACAACACCAAAAGTAGAGCACTGGAAGGCTGAAGTTAATGATCCTGGATGAAGAGAAGGGTCTCAGAAAACATGCTGTGCAGACTGTATTTCAGGCCCTCCTGACATCTTGGTCTCCAACTCCCATCAGCCCAGCTCTACATGGCCAGGGTTCAAGGATAATGGAAGGCGACATCAACGGGGGAGGGGAGGAGCACCCTTGCTGTACTGGTACCAGAGACCATATTTTGAGTGTCCCCAGGTGCAAGGTGTTTGTCAATTTTCAGCCTATGGGATTGCTCTTGTAGCAACAGCAGGGTTGCAACGCATATCATTCAGTAGTGTCTATTGAGCCGTTATTGACAGTTATTGACATGACTCAGTTTCTGACTCATGGAAGACACATAAAAATGCATGAAAACTTGGTCGCTTCATCTTTGCAGCAATAGCTTTATACAGAAGTTGTACATAAGAAAATATATAATTTGTTTTCTACATATGAGTAAGAGGATCTTGGTGTTTTGTTTTGTTTTCTTCTTTAAAAAAATCCTCCTTGGAGTCATTTACACTCGGTAACAGAGGAATAAATATTATATATTTATATAAACCTTCAGGATTAAAAAATAATAAAAGCAGTTAAATTGAAATTGTCGTACGGTAAAATCCATGGTGATAAGCCACAGTCATCTTGCTGCAAACAGCTATATGTCATAGGGTGGATGGAGGAATCTTTTTTTCAGGATGGCAGGTAAGAATCCCTTTGTGTTGTCTCCCCCCTCCCACCCCCTCCCATTCTATATGCGCACACCTCATGATATCTTGTTGTTCTAGGACTGTGGGTTTCAATCTTCCCTAAGAGAAACCTCCTCTGTTTCAGTGTCTGCCAATGAACCCCTGTGAATCGGCTCAAGAGCCTTGCATGCAGAAAGGATTCTGGGGCGCAATCTCCATTTGCAAGGCATGCCGTCCAAATCCATTAGGCTTTGTCATTGCTCAACATGAACCGAGAGTGCAGCCTAGAAGCCACCGAAAACCCCCTCTTGGATCTGCATACTGACCAGGAGGATCAGTAATGGTGGGCAATAGCCAAGTTGCCTTTCGGGGAACTGTTGTGTGTGTGTGATTAGAAAATCAGTAATTGAGGAACCAGTCCCTGCCTCCCCCAAGTAAAAAAAGGGCTTCACTTCCAATGAACCCTAGATTTCTGTTTAGTCTGATCAGCCTAGAGAGGAAAATCTGCTGTTAATTTTCATGGTGACCAGCTAGCCCACCCATACTGCTACAACTGCAGTCCTGAGTACAGATTCACTGTGGTAGCGCCTCAAACAGGAGAGATGCTCCATCTCTTATGAGCTGAACCTGGAGAGTTATACTGCATGTGTTATATAGGTAGATTCTGGAGATCCCAGCTCAAAGACGTCCAATAAATCCATTGTTGCCGCTCATGTATGGTTGAAGGGCAAGTTGTGAAATCCTTACCACAAAAATGGTAAGGATAACTTTGTTACCAGAGCCTGATGGCCTTCTTGCCCTATTTGCATGGGGGCGAGAGAATCTATTTATACCAGGAATAAAGACCCAAATCACTGTCCCTGTTTTATATAGTCCCAGGATTGCACTCATGTTTCCGCAAATCATAGGGCAAGGATGTTGTTCTTTGGTTTGTTTTTCTACACAGAGTATCTAGATTGAATTGGATATAAAGGTTCTGCATTTGGCAGTTCAAATGGGATATCGAACATCAGGTGGCAAATTCTTGAATGACTGGGCATTGGAAAGGGCAGAACAACCATTGCAGCCCTCTAGTTGGTGATTCAGTCTCTTTCTTACATTGAACTGGTTGGGAGGGAAACAGCAGTCTGTGGCCATATTTTAACTGCTTACCATAAGGAATATTGGCATGTGTGGGTGCTGAGAATTCCCCATTGGAGATCCCTAGAACCCCTCACCTTAAGCTTGCCTGCATTGGGAAAGCTGATTCTTAAACCAGTTCAGACGTACAATATAGATGGAGCTGAGAATTGCTCACATGTCACTGTTGCTCAATCCCTTTCCCACCCCATGCCTTGTTTCCAGCAATCTTCCAGCGTTTGTCCCATTGCTTCTCCCCTATTGACAACCACCCAGGTGGCACCCACGCCAAATATCAAAAGACGGCAATGCAACCTTTGCATTCAGAATAACCCCCCAAAAACTTTCCTCACAGTATAGGCCGCGCACCGAATTCATGCTCTCATGCTGGTAGACTTTAAGGTTCTGCTCAAGTACAAAGTTTCCAATGCGAAATCAGGGATTCATTGGGTTGGGGATGTGGAGAAACTTTTAATGTTCTCTGTTAACTCCCATCCTGTTAGAAGGCAAATCCCAGAGACAAACTGAGTAGCTGAATGGCATCAAGAAAGAGGACTGTGTACTTTACCAGCAGGATCTAGTTTAGCTGTGTCTTAGCACTGCGATGCATAAGTTTAGGTTTTGTTTTTTGTTAACAACTAAATCTTTTAAAATAATAGATATAATAACAGAGGGGGGGGGGATGAAATGGTGGATTCCACTCTGCGATCTTCATATAGCAAGAGGTGGTGGCTACCAGATATATGTTTCTTGAAGGGGTGGAGCTGCTTGGGGATGAAGGGCTTGGATGGAGTCAGTAGTTTTCTGATTGGTTGAAGCAGCCAGTCACCTGGACCAGCTTTCCTGGGTCCTGGGAGGGCAGGGAAGAAGAAAGAAAGAAATACCTCCATAAACCTAAAAAGTATTCTGAGCAGATCAAGCGCAATAATAATTATGCTTAACATTTGTATGGCGCTTTCACATTTTCAGAGCACCTCACCTGCTTTGCAAGGCAAGTTAGTTTTACCACCACCCCATATTGCAGGTGGAGGGACTGAGGCTGGACATGAGTGTCTTGCCCAGGACGATTTAGTGAGTTCCTGGCAGAACGCCCTGATCGGTACCTCCAGCAAGTTTCAAAAGTTCTGCAGAGTGACCATTTTAAAACAGAGATGACTCAAACAGGAGAACTTTCCATGGAAAAACACGCACCTCTGGTCAGGCAATAAAACATGCTCTGGTACATTCACAGTGTTCAGGAGGCAGGAGCTCAGCTGGGTTTAGCCAATAGATGAGTTGACATAGCGTCAGGGTATAGACAGACATAGCCAGCAGCTTAGCTTTGGAACAAGATTCTCTCATCTGTTGCTTTCTGTTTCTCACTCGTTTCTCTGGACTCCTTTCCCTGCCCAAACCTTTGACAACAAGAAACTATGTTGTTTCCAACCTCGCTTCTCTGAACTGCATCCATCTCTGACTACCGGGATGCCATGTTCTGGGACACGGGGTCCTTGTATGTAATGCAAATGTATGTGTTTTGTAAGGTATTGGACTTTTGACAACTATACAAAATGAAGCCTTCTGTTGAGACAGAGAACAGGAACAGGCTGGGTGCCTATGCTGCCAGCTTACGTAATTATGCCCTTCCAGTGGGCCTCAGGGATGAGTAGAAGAGGCTTCCACTCAAAGAAGCCTATGGAACAGCTTTGCTGCTGACACTACCAGTAACAGAGAGCTAGGCATTAGTTCTGTCTAGGCTAGAGCAACATGGCAGGCCCTCCCATTCTGAAAAACAGCACAACACTGTGAATCAGGACCTCACTCGCCTCACTTTCTCCGGTTGCAAATATACGTGGGCAGACACTGGTGCTAGAAAATGTGTCACCTGTTTGATACTATGGGTGTGGTCTCATAATATTTTATGGGGTAATTTTGGGTGTGATCAGGCGAAGCCCGTGTGGGAAGGGTTCTCTGAAAGGCATCTTAAATAGAAAACAGGAGAGGGGGGAACAATTGCCTGCTTAATGGCGACTTCCCTTCTTGGACCTCTTCGTGGGGACCTTGCAACCGCGGAGTGCAGAGGTATCTCTGATCTGCTGTCCTCGAGCTGAAGAGGGCGATGCGCAGGCTGCATCAGGGCGTGATCGAGTGGATTCCAGCCACCTATAGAAGAAAAAGCAAATTCTCATGGTCACAACAGTGTGGTTGTTAGGGTAGATCTCCTGAGTGAGATTTACCAAACTCATGCCTTGTACTGACAAGGATTCATTAGCTAACCAGTACATCTTATCTCTATCTATCTATCATCTATCTATCTATCTATCTATCTATCTATCTATCTATCTATCTATCTATCATCTATCTATCATCTATCTATCTATCTATCATCTATCTATCTATCTATCTATCTATCTATCTATCTATCATCTATCTATCTATCTATTTATCATCTATCTATCATCTATCTATCATCTATCTATCTATCTATCTATCTATCATCTATCTATCATCTATCTATCATCTATCTAATCTATCTATATCTATCTATCATCTATCTATCTATCATCTATCTATCTATCTATCTATCTATCTATCTATCTATCTATCATCTATCTATCATCTATCTATCATCTATCATCTATCTATCTATCTATCTATCTATCATCTATCTATCTATCTATCTCATCTATCTATCTATCTATCTATCTATCTATCTATCTATCTATCATCTATCTATCTATCATCTATCTATCTATCTATCTATCTATCTATCTATCTATCTATCTATCCAACTATCTATCTATCATCTATCTATCTATCCATCATCTATCTATCATCTATCATCTCTCTCTCTCTCTCTCTCTCTCTCTCTCTCATCTATCTGTCATCTATCCACAAACACACATATACAAGAGTGGACTAGAGGAGTCATTGCACCCATGAGATATAGAACGAAGTGTTCTTTTACCTGCGCAGAGGGGCTAGCTGACAGGAGCAGTGCCAAGGGTTGTTCGACAGGGTGAGGGTCTCAAGACGGCCGAAAGGGAAGTTCCCAGGAAGACTGGACAGTTTGTTGTTCTCAATGTGAACAGTCTTCAGTGTGGTTACGCCAGCAAATGCTTTATCTGAAAACTGAAGCACAGGCACACGTGTCAATCATCATGCAACCAGCAGGGAAAGGAGAAGCTTATCCTTTGGGCCAAGTTGACAAATCAGTTTTTTTGCTGGCAGTGCATTTTGAGTTGGTGTGGATACTTTTGGGCTTTCTGTCGGCATCTGGTTGGGCACTGTAAGTACAGGATGCTGGAATGGATGTACCTTTGGGTCAGATCCAACAAGGCTCTTCTTCTGTTTCTATGACTCCGACCCAGAGTCCAGCAGCCACTCTTAAGTGACATCCATTCTCTTTCTGTATTTCTCTCCAGCAGTGATCAGTGTTTCAGGGATCAATATCAGGGTGGAGTATATAGTGTGGAATGCCCATTAGATTTTTACATGCACACCTAAACTATGAATTTTGCCATAAGTATCTTCCTGAACTCTGGAGAAGAGCGAAGGGTAGAAGGAGGACCACCTTAGTATTTGTCTTCATACTTTAGGGTCACTGAATTTAAGCTCTTGGAATCTGAAACCGTGACACTACAGGCATGTGTAGAGTACAAGGCTGTTCTCCTATTAGAAGAGACCTTGATGACATTTGGGGGGGGGTTATGTGCCTCATATTATTTAAAAGATATGTGTGTTCCGACAAGCTCCATCGCTCTCCCTGCCTCCAGCTTCTTTCTAGACATCTCTTCATTTCCAAAGGAGCAAAGAGATTATTTGGCTTTTCATAGTTGAAATCCTTTCTGGCACCCGGTTGCCACATTCATGGAGAGGAGTATTTGTGGAGACTCAAGGGCCTGTAGACTTTGGCAGAACCCGGTGGACTCTCAATGGAAAGTTACACTTGGCATTCAAGCACAGTAGAAATAGCAAGGCAGATTTCCAGTGACTCAAGATTCCTCTCCCCTTTCTCTTTTTCCTGACCGGGATGCTGCATAATGTGTACATTTATGCCATATATAGGTTTGCTTGGAGATTACAGCTCTTTCACAGAATCATGAGACGGTAAAGAGCTAAAGCAGTTATTTCTCGGCCTAGTTGTCGTCGTTGCTCCTTGCTTCACTTGGAAAAATTCCCATGCACACAAACCCAACAACATAAACTTCCTTGGAGACTATAATTTAGGTTCAAAACATCTACCAGTGGTTACAACAATGTTCTCCCCACTACCACTCCCCTTACTCCCTTTCAGGGAAATGAAAAGAATATATACTAACCCCGGATAAAATTACAAGTCATTGCAGTGTTTCCACAACACGTCACAAGAATCAACTAATCGCTGAATAAATTCCTCTACAGACCATCAGTGAATGAATCCCAGAAGATTCTCCTTGAGTTGTTGGCAAGGCTCTTTTTCACACGAGTTGTGAAGGCAAGCATCTCATCTCAAAGAGCTGTATATATTTGAATGAGATGTGTTGCATTCTAGAGGGCTTTGTGGTTCACCGCCAGATGTTGTAATTCTTGCTCCTTTGTGTAGTGGTGTTATGCACCCGCTCTTAGATATTGCACCTCCTGGTGCTGAGTTGGAGTTGGAGGTGTCTAGTGTAGCTATTGTATGAAAGGATGAGATGAGACTGAGTGTTTATATAGGGTACTTCCTGTTCATTCCCTTTGTTCCTTTAGTTGTGGCAGGGATTAAATCATCTATTGAATTTGTGATCTTCCCAGGGAAGGTGTAGCTCTGTTTGGTTGCTCATTGAGAAGTCTGCCGACCCATTCCAAGAGGTTGCACTGTCATCTCTGGTATTTGCCAGCTGAGCCTTGGCTGGCTGGTACTCTGGCCTGCAAACCAAACCATTACTAAATGCCTAGGTCTGCTATCTGCTTGCAGAAACCTATAATATTGAAACTACATGTAAAAGAGTTGTGTTCATTGCACTGACTACTGAAATAGCAAATTCTCAGCTTTTAGAAGCTTTGTTTAGAATTCATGTTAAGGGTAGCAATGTGTGCCAGTAAGCAAACCATATGGGATTGTGGATCGAGGGCCCGACCCCCGCTATGTGAAATAAACACACAAGGACACGTGATATAAGGTTGATGGGCAAGAAAAGGCCACAACTTTATTGATTACAGCAGTGAAAAGGTATTGGCTTAGGCATTGGATGACTATAGGAGGTGGGTTTATTCAACAGTAGGTGGAGCCTGTTGATGCCAATCCAACTATAGGCTCACCCCTGATGTCACCGAGGGTCGTGCCATGGCCTCCCGCCAAGCAGGCATCGGACGGAATACACGACCACCAGATTCCTTTAACGGAATAACCCATGGTAGATAGCATAGGCGATGGCCACACCTAGCCCTTGACACACATGAATCCAATGCCTAACCTACCCACCAATACCACAAAAGTTGTGACGATTGCTACGAGGTAGGCGAAAAAACCAAAAAGCCTAATGCCAAATGGAAAAATTCCTACCAGGCCCCCCAGACAACCGGGGCGACCAACCTAAGGTCCATAGCAAGGCCAAAAAACCTAGACCCTGAGCTAAATGGGAGTGGAGGGTGGGTGACTCGCTGCAGGACGACGACGACTGAGGAGGAGGCGGAGCTGGAGCCGCAGCATTAAGCTGCTAAACACGCCCCCCGGAGACACCTGGTTGGCTGCCTCCGGTGGGCGTGGGCGCCAGCCAGGTGAGGAGGAGCGGGGGCTAAGGCCCCTGGCCAGGGGCGGAGCTCGGGCTCCCGCCCACAACCACTCCCCTCTCTTCCAGGGAGGAGAGTCCTTGCTAAATGAAAGGAGAACCAAAGGCCACAGCACAGTAATTAAGGGGGCAAGGAGAAGAGAGTTAAGGGAGCTGGAGAATGGGAAGTGGGTATGGATCCCCTTCTCAGGTTATATCAGCAGTAATGCTGGCATGGGAGAAGGATCCACAGCATCAACTTCTTTCATCTGGCTTGGTTCTTTCTGTGTCACCCAACAGAACCCATGAAGAGGAGTATGTGAAACTGCATAGATGGGATTAGACTTGGTTTACATATATACAGGTAGATTGAAGAAGCAAGAAGAACTGAGGGTCCACACAGGTGGAAGGGAGATTTTGATTAGGCTCCAGCATATGTTCAAAACTCCGCCTGAGACCCTCCTTTCCTGTGGAGCTTTGCTGAAGTTCCAGCCTTCACAGGGGATCAGTGAGTATCATCCATTCACGAGCCAGATGGCAAAAGACATAGCTGGTTTATGGTGCTGTGGACAGCTCCCTTGAGGACTTCTTTCTGGATTAGATACCATCCTTTTCGGATAGGAAATACATGTAACTGTCAAATAGTAATCCAGTTGCTGGTATAACTGAACTTCAAACCGTGAGCCAGGATTGTGGACTGGTGAAAATCACCATTGTGTGTCTCTGAGTTTATACAATTCATTCAACAATCCAAACTCCATTGTTCTTTTAGGTACTGTATACTGTATTCTGCTCGGGTAAAGCCTAACAGAGTTCCACGACTACTTCAAGTGGTTGTTTTGTTTTTTAAAAGTGTGTCACAAGATAACACCTTTATGGTAACATGTATGCAATTCTGAGGCTCTTGAATAGTGTTGTAATTTGGAAATTGAAAAGCCCTTTCATCAAGAGGACTTCACGTTGCTCCAGTCCTGAATAATTTGCCAGTTTCCAATCCCCATCCCTGAAAACTCCCTCCTCCCTCTCTGCCACCACCAACCGCTTGATAACTTTGCATCTTGGGGTGAATCTTGCTGCTTCGGGTGAATCTGTTTGTTCACCGTTCATCCTGATACGTCTGCACAAAGCTTACGTGGAGCTTAGACTGTGTCTGGTATTTACGGAGTATTCATTCTGATTTGTGTACAAGGCTCATATGACAACGAGCATTTCTCCTGATTTGTTTCTTGGGTGTTTACATGACTTCCTGTTAATCGTTTTTTCACCCCACTTTCTCAATGCACAATCTATGATGCCTTCAGACTGTCCCTTTCCACACTGCAAAAAGTTCATTTTAAAAATGTGGATTTGTGCTTTAATCTATTTTAGTTGCACAAACCTGAAGTTCTAGTAAGCAATTGAATCCCGCCCCCCATGAAATATTGACAGTCTGTAGATACCCTGTATTAGCTCTGGGCTCTGGATGATTTTCTTTTCCGTGTAAAATGTGTATTTAATTTGGTTTGCCAACACTCTGTCATTCACAGAGCTTTATTGCGGTGGGGCGGGCGGTTCATGTTGCTGCATCCCTTAGCATCTCTTTGAGGGTCACTGTTTTGGTGCTGATTCACCTGGATAACCTCAGCATGGGTACATAGCATGGCTGGAAACTTCCCTCCTTGTTCACCTGGAAGCCTTCCATGATCCTTCTGCTTCTGTTTGATGTGGTCTCTTCCCCCCCATCTGGGACATGCTCCATCTAGTGTGATGTCACCGCTGCCTCCTGTTTACGAAAAGCACCTCAAGCATGATGCTTCAGCCTCTGGGACATGACTCATTTGCCGAGAAGAAGAGGAGTATTTTGCTGCATTACCTGAATGTCCCTCTAGCTCTCTTGATAGGAACAGAGTGCCTTTGTGGAGCGCTGTGAGGGTTTCTCTTGAGAGATAGTCAATAAACAAACCCTTCTTTATGAAGTGTAAGGTTGGAGAGAGGCAAAGATGCAAAAGTCCTCATGTGTGCTCAGTCTACCTGACTGCAGAGCACTCACCAGTCGCTGACGTTAGCCTCCACTTCTGCGGTGGTCACTGCATTCACTTACTCGTTCCAATAACAGGCCATCAGTCTGGTGTCTAGGAACAGAGCTTTACTCTCCCTTTTGCAAACGGCAGGTATAGGGGTGCCAACCTTTTGCCTCCAGTACTCTGTCCCATTAATTTCCTAGTCCAGCCTTCCCCAAGATGGTGCCTTCCATACCTGGTTGGACAATGGAAGTTGTCCATAAGGCTGCTGGGAGTTGCAATCCAATATAATCTGGAGGGCACCAGGTTGGGGAAGGTTGGGGACCTAGTCTCTGCCTGTCAATCACTCTCACTATACAAACGGACACAGCCTTTGCATCATTCATTTTGGAGGACAGGCACCACGACCATGGTTGTTATTATTCAATATTATTTAGTTTGAAAGCATTGCAGGCTCCATGTAATACCATGAAGCCTCCAGGTTACAGGGCTTACAAACAGATGAGATGAAGGCAAAAGGGGGAGGAATTTCAAATGAGGAACTAGAACAGATAGTGGACAGGGAGGTAGGTAGTGGAAATGTGAACAGTGATGCAGAAAAACATTCGTTTCCGTTCAGGAGCAACCTGAAGGAGGAAAGGGCCCCAGGGCTTGGTGGAGAGAGAACTGGCTGCTAGGAAATTATTCCAGAACAACTTATTTCAAATTTAGGAGCGTGAAATGCAAATAATAAACCTATCACCTTTTATCGTTATTTTGCATTTTCACTAGCACCTGAAGTGCTTTTTTGCTAACGATTTGCTTCTGTAGTTGGGTGCTGTGAATTGTTAGGAAGCCTCTCCCAGAGCTACAGTTCTGAGCACCCTTAACAAGCTACAGTTCCCATGATTCCTTGGGGGGGGGAGCCATGACTGTTAAAAGAGTATTTTTAATATATGGCATGGATGTTACCCTAGCCATGATGTAAACAGTCAAAGCTCTTCAGGTTTGACAAACAGGGGAGAGAGTTTGTGTAGGGAGTCCTGTCCTTTTCACATCCCACTTACCCATTTCCCACCATTATTGAGATATTTGCTTCAAAGGGGCATGACCTGTAGGGATGGGCAAATCTGCCCACTTCATTTTCTCTCAAATTTTCATTTTTCTGATCTTGAGTTCCATTTATCCTATGTCCACATCAGTTTGGGATTATTTTTTAAAGTCTGCACATTCCTCATAAACTACACATTTTTGCAAGCAGTTTCCCCTAATATAATACACTTTTATACATTATTTTCACTAATGCACACTTATTTGTGCACCCTTTCCTGTAAATATCTGAAGGAGCGTCTCCACCCCCATCGTTCAGCCTGGACACTGAGATCCAAGCGCCGAGGGCCTTCTGGCGGTTCCCTCATTGCAAGAAGTGAGGTTACAGGTAACCAGACAGAGGGCCTTCTCGGCAGTGGCGCCCGCCCTGAGGAACACCCTCCCTTCAGATGTGAAGGAAATAAGCAGCTATCCTATCTTTAAAAGACATCTGATGGCAGCCCTGTTTAGGGAAGATTTTAATATTTAATGCTGTACTGTTTTTAACATTTGATTGGGAGCCGGCCAGAGTGGCTGGGGAGACTCAGCCAGATGGGCGGGAAACAAACAAACAAACAAACAAATAAAATTGTTATTGTTATTTGGATGGAGAACTGCATCACTGAATTCAGTGACTTGCGCATCTTGAAGGGTAGCTTCATTTTGATTGGCTCAAGAAGTGGGAATTAGGTGGATTCCCGTTAAAATGTGAACCAAACTAATTCCTCCCAAGCCGCCATCCATAGCAGCCAGTCACGTTTTTCCAAACCTGGCGTTGCCCTCTTCTTCTCCCCCAACTAAACATGCCTTCCAGGCTCCTGGGAAGAAGGTAGCAAATGCTTTCACCTTCCCTACAAAGAAACTACAAAGAAAACTGTCAGTCTCTCCCCCCCCCCCCCATTTCTGAATCTAGCTTATGCTTCGAAACATGCTGCCTCTTCTCCAAATCACCCAGGAGGCTGTGGCAAACCACTGGGTTTACTTTCAGGCTGTGTGGCTTTCCTTCCCCCATCAATGTTGTTCCCAAATGTAGCATTTGTCTTTCCTCTGTCGGAATGAATCATAATGTTAAAAGGTGCACTGCAAACACGCCACTGGAAACAGGGGGATTGAAACCTGCTTCCTGCCGCTCATTTCCCCTGCATGTGCAGTGAAAGCAGGATGTGCACCCCAAACGGTGTCCCACTTATTTCGCCCCATACAGTGGTACCTCGGGTTAAGTGCTTAATTCGTTCCGGAGGTCCGTTCTTAACCTGAAACGGTTCTTAACCTGAAGCACCACTTTAGCTAATGGGGCCTCCCGCTGCCGCCACGCCGCCAGAGCACGATTTCTGTTCTCATCCTGAAGCAAAGCTCTTAACCCAAGGTACTATTTCTGGGTTAGCAGAGACTGTAACCTGAAGCATATGTTACCTGAAGCATCTATAACCCGAGGTACCACTGTATAACTGTGATGGGAGCGACTGAGAACCCAGCCAGCCCTGCGTTCTGTTTCTTAACTGTGCTATAGGCTTGAGTGTGACAGAACAGAAAGAGACTGCGTTTGAAAAGTCTGCATTAGAAGCATTTGAAAACATCGTGGTGGCTGGGGGTATGCAGTGGTACCTCGGGATGCACCTGGTAGTCTCAGCCACTGAGAATAAACTCATGGCTTGATGGCTCACCTGGGGTGGCTAACCTGGTTTGTCACCCTTGCCCTTGGGCAGCCCTTCAGCACCTGCAAGCCAACAGTGGGTGTGGCCACCTTGCATCCTCATTTTGCACACACAGACAGCCCCCCTCCTCCGCTGAGCCATGCAGATCAGCTGAGGGTGATGGGATCGTCACCCTCTCCCTGCTCATCAAATGATTGATCCAATGACCAAGGAGGGTGCTGGGCTAGGTGCAGAAGTTAAATCCTCTCTGCCCAACCCAGTATAGTGCCTTACTTTAATTTCTGTTTCCTTTTTGGTGCTGGCAAAATGGGGAGCGGGTGCAGGGAGTGGGCAGAAAACTGTGTGGGGAGTTACATTAATGTTCCACTGCTGTTGCTAGAACGGGGTGGAATTTGGGTAAGAGCGAGATGGAATATTTTGAATGGGCAAGATCTAGGGAGGGAGAGGGAAATTTCTGTGGACCACTTACCTTTTCTAGGCCCATGTTGTCCAGGCTGAGTGTCTCCATGTAGCGCCCAAAGGACTGGAAGGCTAAATCCGGGATGATCTTCATGGGGTTGTTTGAGAGTTTCAGGTCCTCCACCACTCTCAGCTTGCTCATGGCAGCCCCAGGGTAGCTGGTCAGATGGTTCTTATCCAGGTGGAATATGGCTAGGTTCTCCACATCGTCCAAGGCCGCAGGATGGACGGAGTTGATAGAGTTGTTCGAGAGATAGAGCCAGCGGAGATCCTTGGTCCCATGGAAGGCTCCTGCTCTCAATTCTCGGAGCTTGTTGCTGCCTAGCTGCAGGATGAAAAGGTTGATCAGTGGGGAGAGGAGCCCCTTGGGCAGGTCTGGGATCTTGTTGTGGTCTAGGTAGAGGTAGGTGAGCTCCGTCAGGTCATCGAAGGCCCCCATCTTTATGACGCTGATGTCATTGTTGGACAAGTAAAGGTAGACCAGCTGCTTCAGGCCCCGGAAGGCTCCACTGGAGATCTCTTTGATGTGAGAGTGCTGGAGGTGGAGAGAGACAAGGTTCTTCATCTCCCTGAAACCGTTGGTCGGCAGGACGGGGAAGTTGTTCCTCTGCAGGTTGAGGAGACGCGTCTGCTCAGCTACCTTGGGGATCCTTCTCAGCCCAACGTTGTCGCAGATGACATGCTGGAGGTCTCCCCCGTGGCAGTGGCAGTTCTGAGGACATGCCTGGAGAACGGGCAGGAGGCATAGCAGCAAGCCAAAGAGCTTGAGTACGAAGCCTGACCGGTCCATGTCCACAGAGCTGTGATGGATGTGCAGGGAGAAGCAGCGGCAGCAAGAGGAGAAGGAGGAGGAGGAGGAGGGAGAAGGTGGAAGGGAGAGTGAGCATGCAGCAAGCTGAACACAGCCCTATTTATAATGTTATTAAAAAACAAAATCCCTTCCCACTAAACCGCAGCCAGCAGCCAGACTCTGACTTGGAAGCAACTGGCTTCAGGAACTTGGTGTGACTTTAACCCCTTGGCACCAAGCACAGAGGGATCCTCCTTCCCTCTCCTCTTCTTAACTTTGATGATGCAGGGAGTGCTTCCCCTGCTAACAAATCACCACGGGGAACAGTGTTTGTATGTCTGTTGTTGAAAATTCTTGTCCTTCCCTGAACCATGTGTGCAGGAAAATAGAACCGTATCTAAGGGGATCTTCCGATGTGCTGAGGGGGACGTTCTCCTTGTTGCCTTCTAATCAGTAGCTGGTAGGAAAGGCATGCCAGGGTAACTAACATGGAAGCAATCTGAATTCCTCCCCTGCCCGGTTCACAGGGCATCTTTTGAGCTATTCCATTGAGTATACTGATTGTCTACTGTGGATGCAATCCATCTTCCCCCCCTGCCTCCCCTCCATCTGGCTTACCTAGAGCTCAGTGGTCTACATCCTTTATTTGTTGTTTTTCACTATTCATAATAACAATAATAATGCAAGTAACAAATAGCCTTGCAGCTAAATTGTTGGCTGAACTTGGCAGTTAAGTAATACAACAACACCACAAACTGGCTTATCAGTATAAAACCAAATTTACTAGAATAATAGCTAGAATAGAGATAGACTTGTAACCATTCAAACAACAAACATACTAAGGTGCCATGTGCAAGACAAAGCCTGGAGATACTGTAAACATGGAGTGGATAAATGTACAACTCTATCTTAACAAGTTACATGTGCAGTAAACGTTATACAGACTGGATAAATGAACCGTTCAACAAGTAGCGCAAGTCCAATCACAGAACGACAACCCCGTGCTGCCACAATGGCAAGGGTAGCACACTGGAGAATATGAAAAAGTTTTTCAAAGCTGTTTTTCAAAGATTGAACTGGGTGAGATGTTCTTCAATGGGTCTTGAGTTGGAAACACAAAGCCGTATGCATGGATCAATCACGGGAAGGCAAATCAAAGCCACCACCCTGGTGAGAATAATGCAAGTGGGCAAAAGGAGACCTGTTCTCCAGATATATTACAGGTTTCACTACACGCTTCATCAGTCTGAAAAGCTGCATGATACAAAATAGCACTCCAATTGCAATGTGTGGTGAACCATACAAATTAGAAAATATCAGTCTCATACTATACCTTCCCCAGTCATACAAAACGGTTTGCTCAGGATAAAGAAAGTATTCACAGGCACAGGTAGTGTTCAGACTCATAACAAGCAGTTAAATACAATACAGGTGTATAGAATCAATCATCACATAGTGTTGGACTCAAACTCCCATCAGCCCCAGTCAGCATGATCAGTGATCAGGGTTGATGGGATCTAGAGTCTGATAACCTCTGGAAAACTTTTAAAAAATCAATTTAAAAAACAGTAAAAGCACCATCAGTAAAACTAAGTTCAAGTGGCAGTACTTAAAAATGCCCTCTGGAAGAGAGCAGAGATTGGGCCAGGCAACCTCCCTGGAGCAAGGTATTGGTGCCACTGCAGGAAAGCCTCTGCTCCTTGTGTCCAGTCTCCAGACTTCAAATGATGAAGGGACACAGAACAAAGTCTCATTGGATGATATTCATGGTTGGGCAACTTCATATCACAGGAGACAGTGCTTAAGATACGCTGGTCCCAAATCATTTCAGGCTTTAAAAGTCAAAATAGCACTTTGCCTAAAAGCAAATTGACAAACAGTTTAGATGGTATTATATCACAGTTGCACGCTCCAATCTGTCACTTGTAGTTCATGTTCTGGCAGCTGTATTCTCGTCTAGCAGAAGCTTCCAAGCTGTCTTCACCGGCATCACCATATAGATCATACTACGGTATCACCTTGCCAACAAAGGCCCGTATAGTTAAAGCTATGGTTTCCCCAGTAGTGATGTATGGAAGTGAGAGCTGGACCATAAAGAAGACTGATCGCCAAAGAATTGATGCTTTTGAATTATGGTGCTGGAGGAGACTCTTGAGAGTCCCATGGACTGCAAGAAGATCAAACCTCTCCATTCTGAAGGAAATCAGCCCTGAGTGCTCACTGGAAGGACAGATCCTGAAGCTGAGGCTCCAATACTTTGGCCACCTCATGAGAAGAGAAAACTCCCTGGAAAAGACCCTGATGTTGGGAAAGATTGAGGGCACAAGGAGAAGGGGATGACAGAGGACGAGATGGTTGGGCAGTGTTCTCGAAGCTACTAACATGAGTTTGACCAAACTGCGGGAGGCAGTGGAAGACAGGAGTGCCTGGCTTGCTCTGGTCCATGGGGTCACGAAGAGTCGGACAAGACTAAACGACTAAACAACACTGGTAGGCTAACCTGGAGCTGATTGAGGCATAAATAATGTCTAGGTCTGACTTCCCAAAGAGAAGGTGTGGCTGGTGTTTAAGACAGAGCTTATAAAAGGCACCCCTAGCCACAGCTTGGTCATCTAGGAGTAAGGTTGGGTTCAGTAGTACTTCTAAGCTACAAACCTGGGAGTGCCATCCCGTCTACTCATAAACCACCTGCAGTAGAGATCCTGGCACATTAGGCCAGGGGAGAGGGGAGTGGAGAGATGTGGAGTTCCCTTCCTTCCACTTGTTTAGCAAAAGTGGAGGCAGAGAATAGAGCACATAGTATCTGTGCACTTGAAAGGCCAGCACAGAGACACAGCACGATGTGAAGAAGTACCCAAGAACCCCAGGCCTTGGTCCTCTGCCAAGTGGGGACAGGACGGGGGGTGGGGGGAGAGAGAGACTACAGAGGAGTGGAGGGCAGAGGCTGGAAATGGAACATTTTGAGCTGGTTTCTCGCCAGATGCTGTTGGCTGTAGCAAACAACTAAGACCTGGGCATATACAACTGTGAGCTTGTTGAGGCTTCCACCGCTGGAGCTGGCTACAAAAGCCAAGCTGGCTGGGGTGTTTACGGAGGCGAGACAGTCTCAAGAAAGGGCGGAAATCCAAGGACTGGTTTAGGACACAGAGGAGGGATTATTCACAAGGATGCCTGGTTTTTTCCATTGTTGAAAGGAGGTATCGCGGCGCATGCGGCGCAGGGCTGTTATGCACACTGGCCAGGCCTCTTGTTTTGCAGAGGTACATTTCAAAGGGACTTTTTAACTGAAGTTGGAGGGCTTTTTTTGCACCTTGGGGTGTGTGCGTTGATTTTGGGTCATAATTCCAAGCAACTTTTACTACTGTCAAATGAACTGTGCAACATTATTTTTTAACAACTTCCCATGAAGTTCTTTCAGAAGTGAAGAACTGGGAAGGTGGCAAACTCACTCCTGTGATGCCCAGTGTCCTGTGCTGTCCATAATACATAGCCCAGTACTCACCTGAGTTCTCAGCTTTGTTCTTTTACCTGCCTGGAGCTCTGGCTTCCCGGTGTGTCCTGTGCTTCCTCCCTTCCCACTGCAAATGTCCAGCTCTGTTTGCTTCCACTACCTTTGCATTCTGGACATGCTCTGAACTTCATTCCTCTTTCTAGTGAGCTTCTGGCCTCCCATTGTTCCCTTCAGTGTAGTCTACCATAGGGCTGGGCGATATCTGGTTTTCAACATCGCAATATGTTGCTATATCACAGTGTCTAAAATAAGGATGGAACTATGTAGAGGTGAACAGTAAGACTGGGCGATACCTGGTTTACAACATCATTATATATCACCAGCTAGACATCAGAATATATTGATATATCACAATGTCTGAAATAAAGATGGAGCTTTGTCGGGGCATTGTCTGGCTTCACAGTTTTCCCACATTGTGATTTTTGCTTACCACACACGCACAGACACACCATGATTCTATATTGCCAGGTCAAAAATTATGAAACCAATATCGCAATATGGACTTCAAACCGGTTTTAGATGATATATCACCCAGCCCTAAATGATATATTGCCTAGTCTACAGTTGTAGCCAGCAAATTCTGGAAGGCAACCCCTGTAAAAACAACACTGCCAGCATGGATTGCCATGTGCCCAGATTTTCCTGGACATTTTTGCGATTTGCGCCCAGACCCTGCTTCTGACTGCAGTATTCCGGATATGTCTGAGAAATTCCGGATGTATGGCAACCCTATTAGCATAGGCATATGATTGCGCTCTGCATGGCTCACCTTGTGGCACTGCAGAGATTAAACAAGACCCACATGTTTTCTATTCAGAACATATCAAGCAAGGCACAAAGGCTGTAATGGCAGTATTTACCAGGAGATGCTTTTTCAGTCCCCTTGCAAGCCTACTGACTTTAAAATTTAGCAAAATGGAAATTCTTTTCTCCTGGAAGTTTTTTGGGCTCTCCTGCTGCTTTGATGTGGGTAAGCTTCTGCAGGAGGTTTGGTGTAAGGGGAACATCAGTAAGAGCCCATTATGGGATGGCCTTAAATGGAATCACCTCTGGACTCTCTGTTGTCTGAAGCCTGAACTTCTTGGTGGCACTCGCTCCAGCGGGATTTAGCGTTTGCCTACTAACTTTCACAGTTCTTTACCAGGGATGAGTAAGAGCTGGGCAAAAAGCAGGCAGTGATTCTTCTCACAAGGCTCACAGTTTACCTAGTTCATGCCAGTGTCTCCTGGGTGGCATGTGGTCAGGAAGTGACAATGGCTCCTGTGTCAATTCTCCCTCTGCACCAGGGCAACAAACACATCACTTTCACTGGACCTCTATTCAGTCCTCTGGCTTGGAAGCTCCCATTGGGCCTGGACCAGCAGGATGGTCTCAGAAGAGGCAGGATTATCCCGCAATCCCCTCCTTCTTAATTGATTAACAGTTCTGCAAACATTCCCTGCCATAGAAGTGCGTGAATCAAGTGGCCAATAATTTACGAAGGTCAGACTCCTCGCTGCCTCTCCGCAGAGGCTCTTGTGGGGTAAGCAAATAAATGCACCATTTTCAAATAAGCATAAATATAGATTTCAGTGGCATCATAGCTTAGGGTTGTTTTGGTTCTCCTAGTTTTTTATGTAGATGGT